AAAAGAGAAACAACACATTCTCCCACAGAAAAAGTTAAGGAGCTTCAAACTATGTAATGAGAATACCTTAATTCCAACATATCCAACATGGCTGGATTTTTTTTTTTTTTATAAAAATAATCAGTCTCAAGCACCAGCTAACAGAAAATGCTGTATCACCAAAATGTCTCGAACCCCGGAGTTTAATTTTAGCTTCACAGTCGCATATTCAGATATAAAGACAAACAGAGCACGCACAGAGATACCACCAACAAAATCTAGACTAAAAAACCAAACGAACCCAAAATCACAATTCAAAACCAGAGCCGTAAGCATTCTGCAGATACTGCCATAATCATCAGTCACACGAACCGACTGATTCTCCTCGATTTTTACGTCCAGTATAAAATAAACTAGCAAAAGGAAAAAAAATAAATAAATACATACGTGCGTATAAATATTTACGTGTATTGCAACAAATTCCAAAAAATAAAACATAATCCAAATTCAACAAGGTCATCCTACAAAAGCCCAAAACCCAGAAAATCCTGATCACCACCCCAAAACCAAAAGCCAAAAAAAAAAAAAAGGATAATTCAGTCAGAAGAGAAAAATTCAATCTTTGGAACACATGGATCAAACATCCGGAAAGAAAGAAAAACCCAATTCAGTTAAACGAAAATGTAGAAGAAAGCAATACCGAAATCAACGAAAGAGAGACGAAGCTTACGGGTGATGGCAGAGGTTTGATTCACGAGAGAGAAAAGGCAGCCATTGTGATAACAAGGGTAAAGCAGTTTTGATGGTTGAATTGAGAGAAAGTATGGAAAGAGATGGAGAGGAAGAGGGAAAGAGTGAGTGATGGTATCTAATAAGGTCAGGGAGAGAGGCGGCGTGAAGAAGAATGAGAGGTTTGAAAGGAGTGAGGAGAAGAGTGATGAGTTTCTTCCTTTGTTTTTTTTTTTTTTTTTTTTAATCTCTTCTTTCTCCCTTCTCTTTTTAGTGCTTATATTCTTTTGGTATAAGAGTTTTACAAAAACCAAATCACCCAAAATACATTAAACAACAAAAAAATATACACCAAAACTTGAAATTCATAAAAGAAAATATCAATTAAGAAAGCAAAAAAATTTGGGTAGAATTATATTTGGTTCATGTCTCATATTTTACATGTAAGCAATGGACTCAACTCCATGCATGATGAAACCAATTGTCTTTTCCCCACTCACCACACCCTCTCTCTCTCTCTCTCTCTCTCTCTCTCTATATATATATATATATATATCTAAGTTTGTATGTACATATAATATAATATAATATAATATAATATATGATTGAATGTATCATCAACTCCTCATAACTTTTGCTACTTCCAATACCCTTCTTCTTCTTCTTCTTCCTTCTTTTGAAGCCACAATGGATTTTCATGGAAAGTTTGTGAAATTTGGTGTGTGATAAATAAATAAATAAATAAATAAAATCAAAATTAAGTAATACAACGTACAAGTAGATGAAATTCGTAAATATTAAAATATTAATTTATATAAATTTTAAGACTTTTTTTAAATTATTTTATTTTTAATTTTAAGAGAATTTTCTATTGGGTTTTTTTTTTAAAAAAAAATAAAAATAAAAATAATTAATTTTGAAAAAAAAAAAAAAGAAATTAGAGGAGTGCTAAGAAAAAGGTGGTGACTGTTGGGGGAAAAATAACGGAGGAGTGCCCGGATCAAAAAACTAAATATTACGGAACCAGCACACGTGTACGTAAGACTGTTTGGAAGTGGCCGGGTGAGGTGGCGGGTGGGGTGGCACCATAAACATATTTCTCGTTCGGCATGTAACGAAAGTTTCGTACGTTAGACTTGGTCCCATTTTCCACGTCAACTTTTTTTAGTTAATTAATTTATTATAACATTAATTTCATATTTATAATGATTTAAAAATTCTCCTTCATTATTTTATGCACGTTATAATTATTTAAAACAATTATCGAATCATATTTTATATATATATATATATATATTATATCCTTTCGAATACATGAATCCTTCCCAATTTTATAATATTTCAATCATTACATTATTTTTTAAACAATAAAATTACTAATATAGTACTAGAAAATATAAGTAATATAATTTATCTTAATAATAACACGATAATATTTTTATTACTGTCGTTATCGTTGTTATTTTTATTATAATTATTACTGTCTGTTATTCTAATCTTGCTTTCGTTTTAATCGACATTTACGTTGATGTTTTGGCTAGTAATGTTGTTATTACACGGTTCGTTTTTTTTTTAACCTTATTGTTGCAGTCGAGTATTATTATTGTCACCCTGATCGGCTACTTTATCGTAAACTGTAAATTTTAATTATTGTCGACGTTATCATTAACTCACGATCGTTATTGTTACTGGTACTATTGTTGTTGTTGTTGTTACTACTGTTGTTATTACTAATTTAGTTTATAAGTAAAAGTAACGTGATTAAAATATGATTATAATATTATTTGAACTTTTAAAAAATTTATGTATATGTATATGTATATGTATATATATATGTTGTGGAATTGAGATTAACCTAGATGTTGGAAACTTTGTTAGAATAAAATTTAGCTTAAAATTTGCTTGTGTAAGTGACAAATAGTATGACACTAATGACTAGGAGAAAAGATAAACACTAAAAGTAACATACATATATATATATATATGTATGTATGTATGTATGTATGTATGGTCTGTATCAAACCACATCATCATATATCAATGCTATTAGTTTTCAAAAAGAAAAGAAAAGCCAAGAACATATATATGTACAAATTAATTAGCCAAAAAGTTATACATATACATATGTCAGTATCTACTCTTATATTAACATAAAAGTTTAGAATGCTATTGAGATATATATATATATATATATATATATATATATATAGTAAAAAGAAAGCAGGATAAGATTACTGATATATATAATTACGATGGTGATATATGAAAATGATAAATCTTAAGGAGGAGGTGGTGGGGGGTTATATCCAACTCCAAAGACTTGGGTAAACAAATTATATTGGTTTGCAGTCAGGGAAGAAGAAGACGAAGAAGAAGAAGAAGAAGAAGAAGAAGAAGAAGAGGGATGGAAATGGACTCCTTCATACACGATTCGAACCTCCTTCGTTTCTTCTTTACTCCACTCTACTCTCTTCTTCGCTTTACAATTTGCCTTTTCACATCGATAGTAGCTTCTACAAAATCATAATTCATCCATCAATCAGTATATTTACGAACTCTTATATATATATATATATAGATATAATTAGAATTAAAGAGAAAAGGTCGACCTAAATTTTGCAATGTTCTTGATGAACTTCTGGCCATATTTTTTCCATTCATACCCATCTTCGGGCAGCACCAATCTATGGCAGCTTTCTGGGACTGCAACTACTCTTTCCTGCTCCTCTTCTTCTCCATTATTATTAGTATTATTCCCCTCCTCATCATCATCACCTACCACTTCCCTACGTACATACAATTACTGAAAGTTAAATATACATGCAGTACTTGACATATTATTTGTGTATAATCTAATACGCACACACACACACACACACACACACATGTATATATGTTTTATGCAACGACAAGATCGGATTAAATATATTCACAAATATATAAATTTCTAAACACGTTATGCATAAATCCTGCGTGTTTAAAGTAGTGAAGCATAAATCTATAAAGATAGATATACATATGCATATAAATTTATGAACATACGTACATGCACTACGTATTTTATTCAGCTGGTAGGTTTTTTGTCTATCTGTATATAGATATATGTGTATACACACACACAGATCCAGATCTGTTACCCTAGGTTCATGAATCTCTGCCTATGAATATAGTGACCAGAAATATATATATATATATACAAACATACATACATAAACATACATTTATGTATATGTATGTATGTACTACACGCCTGTATAGTAGAGAAATCAACAAGTTAAGTAGTCTATCAGAGTCCTCTAAACTTGACTAATTTTTTGCATTCTGAGAGAGCCCCGAAAAACTTACATAATTAACCATGTAAGTACATATATTATGGAATATTGGTCTAATTAATTAACAAAACCCATTAAACCTACAAACCATATATATATGTATATATAAATTAAGCTAGTGTTTGAAGCTATGTAGTAGTTAATACATAAATCTAACAAGAATATCTTACCTAAATATTAGAAAAGCTAGCAAATCTGAACAGATCATATATGTATACATTCTTGTTTTTGTTTTCTTGATTAATCCTTCCATGCGGAGATGAAATGAAGGAAAAAAAAAAAAAAACCAAAAATTTGTACGTATATATACATAGGGAGTATAGAAAATAAAGAAACATACAGATGGGAGGGGGTTTCCCTAGTTGTGGGAGCTTCATTCATGGCTTCTGTCTACAGAGAAGAAGATGAGAATTAGACCAAATAAACAGAGAGAGAAAGAGATCAGGGAGAGTGAGAGTGACAGAGAGAGAGAGAGAGAGAGAGAGAAAGAGACAGAGAGAGAGAGATCAGACCTAGCTAATTTCTTTGGCTACCCAGCTGTGTATGTTGTCAGAACTTTCTTGGTTAGAATTTTTCTGAAAGAAGATATATATATATATTATATATATATATATATCTCTTCATATTATCATGTAATGACTTTCTAAATGGAAATTAAATAACGTTTACTTGAACAGTTTCAATTATTTAGAGAAAAATAATCATGGGATTTGACATGATGATGATAGAAATTAATTAGAAAGAATCCTCCGAATGGGTTCAAGAGCTGATTTTATTGATAACACACACACACACACACAGATATATATATATATATATATATATAGTTCATATTGTTGATACTGTATTAGCATCATGATTACTTGAAAACAAAAGCCAGTGAAAATTACCATACAAGTATTGAACTCTGGAAGAGGATAATTAACAATGCAGATCTACGATTTACGTAATTAACACATTAAAAAAACAAAAAATTAAGTCGCTAAAATCATAATAATGAGAATTTAAGGAGGTGAAAGAAATTGATTGGGTAGACAACATTAAAGAGGAGATTTTGACTACTCATCACGCGCCATGACGTAACCAAAACACCCTTTAGTGACGTCACTGCTTACGTACTCCCTTCCCCACTCCCCACACTCCATCTGTATATGTACATGTACATATCTAAATCTGCTCATGTCGGGTACCGCTGGATTTTGTTTTTCATGCAAACGGCGGATGATTGAATCTAATTCCATGTTTTTAAAACTACTTGTTATTTCACAGCAAAGTTGGAATAATAACTTCTGACGAGCTATTTGATCTCGAACCAAGATCAAACTTTTAGTAATATGTGATTTGGATTTGGATTTGGATTTGGAATGGAGCATCGAAAGATCGTTCGGGGTATTCGAAGATTAGTCGATCGAGTTCCGAGTAGTTGTATTCGAGCAGAAAGAAAGCAATGCAAGAATGCTTGAAGAACCTTTAAAAAAGACCCAAAGAACAAAAAAAAAAAACCATATCTTTATTGTAAAAACCACACAGAAAAGGAATTTCTTCTTTTAGCTCTAGTCATGACAAAAGCTAGATAATCTACAAGAAAGAAAAACAAAAACCATCTCAGTTACAATGTGGGATCTTCTTTTATTTTAAACTCAGTTTTCGGTACCTCATGAATCAGTGTTAACACAGGTTTTTCAGTTGAAACCTCATCGGCAACCTGAAGTGGCTCCAGGGAATCTACTATATCTCGCATCAGAGGCCTTGCTTTTGGATTCCGGTTTAAGCAATGATAAGCTAGCATTGCAGCCTTGTGTAGTCCTTTGACAGGATAATCTCCTTCTAGTCTTGGATCGATGACGTTCAGCAATTTCTTCTTCTCCTTGAGCAATGGCAGAGCCCAATCCGTCAGATTCTGTTCTCGTGCTGGCCGTGACTTATCCAATGATTTCCTTCCTGTTAGCAGTTCAAGAAGAACGACCCCGAAACTGTATACATCACTTCTTGGTGTCAGATGACCTGCACGCAAATATAATTTTTTAGATTTTTCGCCCAAAACGACAAGAGGAATGCTCCATCAAGTATATAAACTATTACAGATTCTCATACTTGATCAATGTAAATTACTGTCTCCTAATACGATAAATCATATCTTAGAATGTCTGTTCGATTTAATTCTCATTGTTATCATTTCATTGTTTACCTAATTACCACACGATTCTTGATAAGGTGAAAATTGAATAACAATTTTATATTTAAATCAGTTCTACTCTTATCTTGAGTTGCTTGAAAGATTCAAGTGAAAATTATTCAACCATAAGGATTAAGATCTTATTATGCAAATTAATATTTAAGTATATGAATCGAACTATTGGGTTATAAGTCCCTAAGAATACTTTAGTTATATTCTAGTAGTCGGATGGCCTGCAAATAAGAGGAAAGATAGCTAAAGTGACAGAGCATGATAATAGCATGCTTCACTTTCGACATGCACAAGATGTAGCTTGTTTCGAACACCAAGAAAGAAAGATAACTGCAAGCATATATTTGAGCTCCACTCAACATGGTTGTCAAAGGCTTTATTAATTTAGAAGAGTACATGGCAGCAGCATGTCAAAATGCCTCATGGAAAACTTGCCTGTCATTATGTACTCTGGTGCTGCATATCCATATGTCCCCATTATGCGAGTGGAAACATGAGATTTGTCTCCAACTGGTCCATCTTTTGCAAGGCCAAAGTCGGAAAGTTTTGCATTGTAGTCCTGTTTATTATACCAAACACAAAATGGATGCGCCTGTAAGTGTAAATGAAGGCCAGTAAAATGATGATAACAGGAAGGAACACAAAAAGTTCTTTGTTGCAAAATCAATATCAGTTCATTGATAGCTGATAGAGATAAAGCTTTTGAGTTCAGGATTCGGGCTAGTACCAGTCTCCCTACTACAGAGAAGTGGATATTACAAAGTGCTACTACAATGCTGATTTTTAGACCCATTTGGTATATGAAAACATTTTCCACTTTACATTTTCTAAATTCATAGATATTCCATATAGAAAAATATATGGTTACTGAAAATAAAACAAAGTCTGAAATATGACTGTTAAAGTACAGCATAAAAGTTGCTTCCAAATTCAAGTCATATTTTCACTATCATTTTCTAAATCTTGTTTTCATTTTCAACAATTACATATATTTTCACTTATAAACATATATAAATTTAAAATGAAATGAAAAGTATTTTCATGTAGTAAATAGCTTGAATGATAAAAGACTTCGTTCCAGCTAGTGCTCTGATTAAAATCTAATACCTATGGGGACGCTTGATATATGTTATACCATCATTACATGAAAATTCTTTTTGTAAGAAAAAAGTGGAATTGGAGTAAAGTTTTAGAACTTTTTTTTTTTTTTTCCGGTTTTAAGCAATTAAAAATAGACTACTAACCAGGTCTAACAGAATATTAGACGTCTTAAAATCACGATAAATCACAGGCTTTTCAGCTTCGTGAAGAAATGCGAGTCCTTTAGCAGCACCAAATGCAATCTTCATTCTGACAAACCATGGAAGAGGAAGCAATACTCCTGCAACAACAGAAAAAAAATGCACATGTTCCACTGAATGGAAGGCCATAAACAAAAATATCTAGATAAGAAGGAAAAATTTCCTTTTCCCATGAGTTTCTTCCAGTTGAAAGCAATGTTTAATCAATAATACGGGCATCTACTTTCTAGCATATTCAGTACCAAAACCATGCTCCTATCTTCATAGAAGAAACTAAGAAAAGAGACGTATTATATATTCTCATACAAGCAGCTGCAATAGCTTGTGTACTCATTCTTCTCATTTTTTTCATTTTAACTGCTTCCATTTAGAAACTGCTGGCTTAGAACGAATAACATAGGATGGCGAATCTATATTCTAATCATAAAGCCATTATATCCTCACACTAAAAAGAATATGTCAGTTTTATTTTTTAGTCCCAACCATCTTTTGGCAATCTCATGGGCTGTCAGTGGATTTGTTGAAGTAGAACTAATGGCTAGGATGGGTTTTTGCAACACAAATCATTAACCGTTAACACTGAGAAAGAAGACGTTTCTCATCCTCATTCCCTATTCCATCTTCTGGTCCATTTGGAAAGAGAAAGAAACAAGAGAGCATTTGAGGTTGCCGAATACAATTTTGTCACTTCGACAGACCACTGGTTTTGAACCTATGTGTCTTGATTGAAGGCCATCCTCTCCCAAGTGAAGAAGATCTAGGGGATATCATTGATCTTTTGTCCGATTCCTTGTCAGTTTTGGTTCTTCCCAGTACGTGGGTGGTACCCTCTTGGTGCCTCTGTATATATAATGTTCTCTTTACCTCTCAAGAACAAAAATGAAAGGGACGAAAAATGAAACTTTTACAGGCTGTATCCATCAAGTGATTGCCTTCCTAGATTAAACCAGTTTGTTGCTATTTCCTTAGCATCTATAATAAAGAAAAGGAAATGTTAAAGTAAACTTTTAACACTAAAATAAAAGTACCAGCAATGGAACACTTACTGGAAAATAGATTGTTCTCCACACTGCCACGAGCCATGTACTCATATATAAGAACCCGATGATCATCTTCACAGCAGTATCCAATCAGTTTCACTAAATTTGGATGAGAAAGCTGCCCCAGGAATATCACTTCTGCCTAAAAACACCCAATACTCATTAATAAATTCATGGGGAATGCAAAGAAACGACTTCCAATCATAGAAAAATGATGGAAATTTAACGACCATCATAATTCCACTTTAGGGTGAGTGGATGATTGAGATGCTCAAAACATTACCAGCCATTCTCTGTGGCCTTGATAGCTGTTATCGCCATCATGAACCTTAACAGCAACCTGAAGGGGCTGAAGTCCTTCTCTCAAATCCTCAGAAATGAATCCTTTATAGACACTTCCAAATCCTCCCCCACCAAGCACCCGGTCTTGTCTAAAATTTCCAGTTATTATTTTTAATTCATCGAATGTGAAGGCAATCAAAGGATTTGCAGCTGTGTCACGCCGTAGATCTTCTACTTCTTTGGGATTTGACGGTAACTTACTATCATCCCTCCCCTGTTTTTCTGAAGGACTCTGATCTTTTGGAGACTCTGAAGTGTAAGAATTATATCAGCACATATCACATTTCCAGTTACCAAATGCTACCAGGGTAACAGTTTCTATATTCTTCGAGTTAAAACTGAAAATACAAATTCGACATGGAGAGAGATAGGAAACGAAACCACACCTTTTCCCCCGTTTTCCTTTTGAAAAACAAGCATTTATCAAACAACTGGGAGGCAAATAAAGATGCATCTTTGAACTAAAAATATTGTTTGCCAAAGCAACATTCGCAACATTCTCAAACTTGACCAGAAGCCCAAAAGTAGACTATATCTCTCACTTTAGGCTATGTTTGGAGCAAAGAAACCTGCTTTGTCAAAATGAATTCCACAGAGAAAGTTCCTTTGTTCAAAACTTAGGATTAATCTGAAAAGCCCTACCCACTAAGAAGCCAGATAATTCAAGCAATGCCTGCCTCAAGAGCATAATTAGACAGAGGACTAACTCTCCAGTTTTAACTTTTTAGATATACACTGATATATAAAAGCATGTGTAACAGATGAAACTGAAAGCAATATCTAGAAAATGAAGTATAGCACGCCTTTACATACATATATGCTTGCATATACTAATATACTATTTGACAGTATTACTGTTTTCCAGTTATTCTCGCATATCTAATCTTACAGAGTAATCACACACACACACACACACACATCATATGCACTATACATGCATACAGTTATATGTATCTATGCACAAGTATATACACAGATGAAGATTGAAAAAAGGAACTTCAACATCCATGTGTCAAACAGTCTAAGTTTCTCAGATATTCGGCTCAAACAATTGCCCAAACATGAAGAAACATCTCATCAAAGATCAAATTTGCTCATTTTCATACTAGATATTTTTGCCCTTGTAAAAAAGGACAAAAGTTAGACAAGCAAAGAAAAAAGACAAAAGAAAGTGAACTAATATGCATATATATATATTTATATTTCAATAGGGCATTTTTTAAATCGAAGTTCTTCTCAATAATTCTACCACGGAGATAAGCATCGACCCACCAAAATGAAAAAGCACCCACTTGCTACCTAAAAGAGAGGAAAGGGGAACCATCAACTTTTTTAAGTGGGAATAAAGAACAGGTGACAAGCTACATCTTCAACCTTTTGACATTTCTTCAATGTTAAAAATCTATGAAAAATATATGTATACGATACACATAAATCAATAGTGATAAATATTCAATAAATATCAGGAAAACATGCATAAAACAGAGGAAATGGAAATGAACATTGACAGGTGAATCTAATCTTGATATTTCCGAAAAATGAACTCAAAATCATGCAAGTAAAAACTCCTCAACTTGAGACGTGTAAGGGAATCTAGATTTAGCTATAAATAAAAACATGTAAATCAGAGTAAGGAACATAAATGGAGACAAAAAAAAAAAAAGAGAGAGAGAGAGATCAGGAGGAGGGAGAAAAATTGGAATATGAAGAAAATGAACCAAACCATTTTCTAGAATCATAAAAAAAGGAAAACCCAGATGAAAAGAAAAGGAGAAAAAGAAAATTAGCAAAAAAGAAAAGAAACTAACCTGACTTTGCATTGGATGAGACTCTGTAAACAGAAGTTTCCCACCTACACCAGCAGTTACCCATTAACACCAAAAACAAAACACCTACTCCCTCACCATTCAACAACCGCTCGTAAGAAAACCAAAGTTCATTTTCTGCATCAGATTTTTGTTTCCAGACCAAAAGAGATGGAGGAGGAGAAAAAGAAATCGCTGGCGCATGAAGCAAAAGAAAAACGAAAGTAGAGAAACAGAGTGTACTACATCTGAATGAGGAAAGAAAAGAGAAGGAAAAGTGGGTGAGTGGGGAATTGTGTGGGTGCCAGTGGTAAGATGAATGAAAGGAGTTCTTGATGGAAATGATGAGGTGAGCGTTGAAGTGGGGACTAGTTCTTGGCTATGGCGGAAATGGGCCCACGATGAGGAAGGAGGTCGTTGTTTTGTTTTCTTTTGATTTTACATAAAGAAAGAAATCTTCAGAATCATCCTAATTTAAATGGTTTATACACACCTCAAAAAATATATCTATTTATAATTATTCTTTTTAAGAACAAGGAGCTGAAAATTCATTCATCGGACTAAGAGAAAGGAGTGTTGCAAGAGAAATGGAACCAAAGAAATCATGAGGTTCTAAAATACAATACAATATAATCCACCCGGCTTACAAAGAGCTTTTTGTGTAAGAGCATGAGTCATCTTATTATAATTCGGAGATGTTTAAAACACAAACCAACATTGAGAAATGCGAAAAAAAGAAATTAAATTGAAATAAATCAAGTTTTGAATTAAATATCGTAGATGATTGTAAGAACTTATCAAGTTTTCGAGAATCCTTTTTTTTACCTGTAGTCTTAATATCTCTATTTGAGAAGCAATCTGCATATCAAATAACAAAGTTTGTGTTTAGTCTCAAATTCTATTTGAGAAGTATCGTGATACATAGTTCCCAAATTGATCTAACTATTTCTCTCTGACGAAACATCATAATTAAATATATTGTGTGGTGGTTGGGTCCAATAAGAGGAGATCATCATAACTGAGCTATCTTGTATATTACGGGCGCTCACTCTACCTGTAATATCAAATTTGGTAATATGTGTGTGCATCTTAATCCATCAACTCGAGTGAACTAATTGATTTCTACTCCAAAAATCTCACATAATATGCAAGAACCGTATTATAAAGTATGAATTATCATTTGAACTTGTAAAAGAAACCCAAAGAAATACATAACCATTAGTCTGATTAATCAAAACGAACGGGCTCAATTTTTATATATCGATGACATATCTAAAACTTTGAAATAAATACTCTTTGTTTATTATTGTCACCGCATATAGAACATACCTAATCAATAGACATATGATAGGTCAGTCAAAGCCGTTAAGATTTTTCACAAATTTTTCTCTTTCGGGCGAGAATGACCACAAGTAATTTTGCAAAAATGTTATCTTCCCCTTTACTCGTGCTTTTGGTAGTTTAAATAGCATAAAGAAATTAAACATGTGAAAGGATAAGTGACTGGGCTGGTGTGTTGCAGGGATCATGCAGAGTGCAGAAGCTGGGCAGAGATCGTGGGATCATGCAGAGTGTAAAAGTTGGCCAGAGATCATAGAGGTTCGGGGTGCAAAAGTTAAGTAGGAATCGTGGGGGTTGATCCTAGAGTGTTGACTGTTTTCTGGAGATTCCTTTTTGGGTTGCCATTGGGATCTTATGATCCTATCATTGCCTTCCCCTTTCTTAAAATCTTGTCTTCAAGGTTCAGGTACCTTTGGTCTCTCCGTTCAGTCAGGCTTCGCATGATCAGCATTCTATTCCTTTTTGTTGCCTTCTAGAAGTAATAGTTGGGATCAGCGGCATCTGTGGTCGAAGGTAAATTTTTCGTCACAGTGGAAGCACATACCTTATGCTCGCCGACATTGTGCCTCTTCCCAAGATAACCACTTGGGAGCTGCGATTATTTCTTCTAGAGCTCGCGGAGTCTGGTCGGATAGGGAACACGACTATGGGTTGGGTTGATTCCGCCCGCCCTAGTCTAGCCTACCTTGATTGCCTAACTATTCCTCGCGCATGTGGGGCAAACTTATTGCATCCTTCAAGGTCCTAGCCTTGAACATCCTTATCCCATCTGCCATCTCGAGCTGAAGTC